GCGTGTGCTGACTTCCCTCAAAATGACATTCATTACGTTTTCCAACGTTTTTTATGAGAATGTGCACCTACTGTATGTTATGAATTACTTTTATAGATGAATTGGCGAACATACGTCTGTTTTCGATGAATTTTTGTCAGGCCTTTACATTTGTATAATTAAATAAATAAACAATATATTGAAGGCCCACGGGGCCCTTTCATGATATGCTAATTAAGTAAATAAACTATGCGAGTTGGCAGAAGAAATAGTACGGTTGTCAGGGGAGGAGGGAGAGGGGGGAGCGGGGTCAACATCTGATCAGCGTTAGGGGGACTGGTAGTAGGCCGAGGTGTCCTAACTGGTAAACGGTCTTCCAGTTCAATTTCAAGAGCAAATATGCACAATTAATGAATCTGTTGGTGGCAAGCAGTCCCATGTACTGATAAGTCATCAAGCTACGCAAACAAAGAAGCCAGTACCTGAGGGGAATTTCGCGTATCCATGGAAACTTCGGTGAAAAGAGAAACAATGGGCTGGCACAGCAATAGGTTACAATACTCCCACTGTGAGCAATCAGTTGCAGCAAGATAGGACGAGATGGAGGGTGTGCACAGACGAAAGATAAACTTCCCTGCCTACGTGGACAGAATCCCGCTTGCCAGGCGCCGAAAACCGGACTCATGGACAGTTATCGGCATTGAAGCAGCCCTTATCGTTTTCGCTGTGGGACTGGGCACCTTCACCTACTACCGTGCGCATGTTTTACCCCTCTACGCAGCTAAGACCTTTGCCCACCTCGGCTCTCCTGTAAGCGTTTGGTTTTCCACTTTTAGATTTTTCAGTCTTTAGTAGGAGGTTTTGACAGGCTTGAGCAATTAATTTGACCCGCTTGTGAAAACTCGCCGGCCTGAGTGGGATTCGACCCCACCTCAGTAAGGCGAAGGCCTTAAAAACAGCCAACTGAGTTACAAGCCTCCCACCGGGGGCTGTGAGGTTAATCACGTGTGGATCAATTTACCTGCCAATCCTACTACAATGTATGGAATCTACTAATTCTGAAAGAGTGCGCTGACTGCCTGAGCAGGATTTACTGAGAAAGTCATCTAGAATCCACCAAACGAATACCAGCCTCAATCTTTTGCAAACAGTTTAACCTCAGAATTGAGTTCATAAAGTTTTACTATTCTACTTGTTAGCCGTAAGTGCTTAATCATCTTAGATCATAAGAGGGTATGTCAATCATTCATCAATAAAATTGCACCAAACGTTTGATACGTAGTTAAATAGGAAATGTTTGCCTACGCACGGGTCTGTTGATCGGAGTTTACATCCTGGCATTTAATACTTTTGAACTTTTTACAAGTGAAGAATGTTGTATGTTTTTATATGGCCTCGCTTTAACTGGCAAACGTTCACCTTATTTCACAGACTGACGTGAAACAACCATGCTGACCTTCTTCCTGTCTTTATTTGAGCGGTTTTTGTAGTATTTACTGCAACCTAGTATTGATTATCTTAAAAAAAGCTCTTGGTGCATTTAACCACTTTCGCAGTATATAATTCAACCTCTGTACAGCTCCTTTTTGTATGCTTTAGCCCAGTCCTGCCAGAAGGTTTATTTCTGTGAATCGAACAGCTTCCTTAGCAAGCAAAACACAGTCTGGTTAACGGCGTGTGAACATCAAGGAAAACAGCAGTCCCTATGACCACTCTCTTAAGAATGATGTGTGATTATATTTTGTCCCTAGTACCCGAACTTGTCCACCATTTGCCCCGATGTGTCCCGCGTCAATTATTTCATAGAGAGAGTAGAATTTTGCAGTCCATTCTCCTTCCGCGCTCTTCGCAGCCAAGTAGAGTGATAGAATCAAGAAGACCAGGGGCGGCATCAGGCGCCATGAAGGTAAAAGCTTAAACGCCCACCTACGCGTGCCACAAACGCCTGCAACTCGGACAATGCAGTAGGTTTTCACAGAACAGAAAAGGAGCGGGTCGACTCCTATCTGAGTGGCAAGGCCATAGAGCTCCCAATGAGAAGGACCCGTTGCGGCCTCACTGTCAATCTTAGTCTGTGCACGAAATATCGAAAAAAACAGTGTTCACCGAGTTGCGGCTCATCTTTCCCTTCTTGAACGTATTTACATACTTATTGGCTCTATTAATCACTGTGGTAATAATTTCCAGACCGCACAAAGCCAAGTCGGCCAGTATCAC